CCCCCCCCCCCCCCCCCCCCCCCCCCCGGCCGGGGGGGGGGGCGCCGGGGGGGGCGGCGGGGGGGCCTGGGGGGTGGGGCGCGGCGCGGGCTACGAGGTGACAACACGAGGAAGGGGACATCGGGGTTCTGTGGGGTGACGAGGTTATGGGGCAGGCAGCAACGGGGCGGCATGGAAAGGTGGAATGGAGCGCAATGGGGTAAGGGGGTGACGGGGGGTGGCACTGGGAGGAGCAGTGGGGAGCTATAGGGTGACAGCAGTGGGAGGAAGGGGACATCAGGGTTCTATGGGGTGACCAGGTTATGGGACGGGCGGCAACGGGGCAGCACGGAAAGGGGCGAAACGGGCGATGCAGCGCTATGGGATTGGGGGGGGGGGGGGGGCTGGCACCGGGGTGGCAGCGGGAGGGGGCAGCGAGGGCTACGAGGTGACAACAGGAGGAAGGGGACACCGGGGCTCGACGGGGCGCCGGGGTTACGGGCGGGCGGCAACGGGGCGGCGGGGGAAGGGGCGACGCGGGTTCGGGTGGCGCCGGGGGTCGGGCCGGGCGGCAGCGGGGAGCCGCGGGGTTGAGCGGGGCTCCGCGCCGCCGTTACCGCCGCAGCCGTCGAGGTCCAGGTCCCCCAGCGGGGCGATGGCGGCGGCGAAGTGGCCGTAGGGCTCCGTGCCCGTCAGGGTCTGGGGGCGCCGCTCCCATGGCCGCCGGGAGCCGCCCAGGTAGACGTAGAGCCGCCCCACCTCGCGCTGCTTCCCGTCCGCGCTCCGCTCCACGAACAGCGGGGCTCCCACCAGCACGTCGTCCCTCCTGCGCGTCCGAACCGTAGCCCCGCAGCCCCGCGGTTCCGTCGCCCCGCAGCCCCGTTGTCTCGTCGCCCCACAGCCTCGTAACCCCGCAGCTCCGGGCCCCATTGCTCCGTGCCCACGTGACCCCACCGCTCCAGAACCCCATGGTTTCGTTGCCCCATGCCTCCACAACCCCGCAGCTCCGTGGCCCCAGAACCCCGTGCTTCCAAAGCCCCATAACCCCACAACTCCACGGCCCCGTTGCCCCACAGCTCCATGACCCCACAGTGCTACAACTCCACGGTTCCGTTGCCCCATACATCCAAGCCCCCATAACCCCACTGCCTCACAGCCCCGTCACTCCAAGGCCCTGCGGCCCCATAGCCCCACACGGGGCCAGGAGGCTCTCGGTGCCGTCACACTTTGGGATCCTCACCCGTCCCCGTTGACATCGGCCACGGCCACAGTGTGCCCAAAGTAGGAGGCCACCTGGGGTGGGGTGGCACCAGGGGCAGAGTGGGGTTACAGGGCTATGGGGTGCTATGGGGCTGTGTGTGGGGTGCTATGGGGTGGTGCATTGGGGCAGTACATGGGGTGCTTTGGGGCAATGCATTGGGTGCTATGGGGTGCCATGGGGTGCTATGGGATGGTGTGTGGGGTGCTATGGGGTGGTGCATTGGATGCTATGGGGCAGTACATGGGTGCTATGGGGCGGTGCATGGGTGCTTTGGGGCAGTGTGTGGGGTGCTATGGGGCAGTGCATGGGGTGCTATGGGGCGGTGCATGGGGTGCAATGGGGCAGTACACGGGTGCTATGGGGTGGTGCTATGGGGCAGTACACGGGTGCTATGGGGCGGTGCTATGGGGCAGTACATGGGTGCAGTACCTGCTCACTGGGGATGCCGTGCACGCGGCGCAGCGCCAGCCCCGCACTGAAGATCTCCACCTGCCCCATGGTGACATCGGTCCCCGATTCCCCTTGCAGCCCCCGCCCCATTGCAGCCCCCCGCCCGGCACGCCGCTCACCTCGCCCCTGGTGCTGCCCTTATTGGGGACCCCCACCACGAACTCTGTGGGGTCAACCGGCCCTGAGCTCCCGCGGGGTCCTTGGGCCACGCAGGGCCGGGGGGTCGCGGCCCCACGGAGGGGCTGGGGGGCAAAGGGGCGGCCAACCTTTGGTTTTGGGGTCGCCGTCCAACTCTCCCACGGCCACGGCGTAGCCTGCGGATGTCGGCGCCGTCAGCACCGCGGCCCTCGGCTCCCAACCCCTCCCTCCCCCCCCCCCGGCGGCGGCGCCGCGCCGCTCACCCCGGTAGCCGTCGGTGGAGTCGGGATCCGCCGGCTCGGCTGTGGGGCGGCCGGGGCTGTGAGGCCACAGCAGCGAGGAGTTGGGGAAACGGGAGAGGATGGAGGCGAGCTCCACCACGAACAGCAGCCCTGCAGGAGGGACGTGGGGGGAAAAGGGGGACAAGGGGGGACACGGGGGACATGGAGGGATGCACATTGTGGTACCCGCTGTCACCCGCTGACACACGTTGACGCTCATTGTGGCACCCGCTGTCAGTGTCACCCACTGTCACCCACTGTGTCACCCACTGCGACTCCCATTGTCACACAGTGTCACCCACTGTCACCCGCCGTCACCCACTGTCACTCAGACACCCATTTTCCCCCACTGTCACCCACCACGTCGCCCACTGTCACTCATTGACACCCATTTTGTCATCCCTCGTGGCACCCATTGTCACTGTCACCCACTGCGACTCCCACTGCCACCCATTGTGTCACCCATTGTGTCACCCACTGTCACCCATTGTGTCACCCACTGTCCCCGCCATCACGCTGTGGGGCTGCACTCACCCCAGAAGTAATACCCCCCTGGAGCCCCCAGCGCCAGCGTTCCGTCCTGTGGGGAGATGCAGCCGTGCTGCCCCACAGCCACCGCAGGGCCGCCCCACACCGCGCCCATGGGGACAGGGACACCTCAGTGCCACCCCACCGCCCGCCCCATAGAACTCCCACAGACACACCCCAAGTGTCGGCCATTGGAGCTCCCCACAGGGACGCCCTCATGGCCACCCCATGTCACCCATGTCCCCACTTACACCCATTACCCCCATTACCACCATATCCCCATGTCCCCCCATGTCCCCATTACCCCCATATCCCCCCATGTCCCCATGTCCTGATGTCCCCATATCCCCATGTCCCCATTACCCCCATGTCCCTATGTCCCCCCATGTCCCCATGTCCTCCCATTACCCCCATTACCCCCATATGTCCCCATGTCCCCATTACCCCCATATGTCCCTATGTCCCCATTGCCCCCATATGTCCCCATGTCCCCATGTCCCCATTACCCCCATATGTCCCCATTACCCCCATATGTCCCCATGTCCCCATTACCCCCATATGTCCCTATGTCCCCATTGCCCCCATATGTCCCCATATGTCCCCATGTCCCCATTACCCCCATATGTCCCCATGTCCCCATTACCCCCATA